TTAGCATTCTTGCAAATTTCCCATGTGCTACACGAAGATAAAAATGGGGTCCCAGGGTAATAAAGCTGAGATGTGTTTCAGAATGGTTCAGTTCAGCCTGTGTCTTACCCAAGAGAAATCTGAAAGACACACACTCATCATGATACCCCACAAACTACAAAACTGCCTTAAATAAAAGCTCTTTCTTATTTTCATACATATTTTTCTGCTTCATGAAAAACTATTGTCTCACTTTGGGGCTGAAAAGGGAAAAAATCAGGATAGAAATATTGGCAATTAAACCAACAAATTGAAAGTATTTAAAAAATTAGGTAGAAATAAAAATTACAATTATAGTATTATCTATGGGAATAATTTTCCAGAATTTTCTAGGTTTTCAGAATAATACATTTGAAAATTTGTTTTTAAACCTGCATTCATTCCTAATATGTGTATTAGGAATGAACATATTAGTACATGAACTTTTAAGTAGAGATAAGCTCAAGCACATATATTTTGTAGGTAGTAAGTATTGTCTTAATTAGGTTCTCAATATTTTTAATTCTTCATATAATTTATTTCATATATTTTAACCCAAATATTATACTATTTAGTTGTATGTTGGGAACCACCCTGCCTGGTTTCAGACACCACCCCCCCCATTGGCTAAGGCTGAGTAAGAGACCTTGGGACCACAAGCCACTGAGACAAAGCTAATCTTCCTGGTAGGGGTGCCAGCCTCTGTCCCCTTTTACTTCATCCTGCTTGGCCCCAGATGAATAACCAGTTAGCCAATGACAGGTAAGATTCCTCAAGGTTGACCCAGCAATTCCACTGCTGGGATTATATCCTAAGAATCCTAAAACATCAATATCAAAGAACCTATGCACCACAATGTTCATAGCAGCACAATTTACAATAGCCAAGAGTTGGAAGCAACCTAGGTGCCCATCAGTAAATGAATGGATCAAAAAATTGTGGTACATATACACAATGGAATTCTATGCTACAGAGAGAAAGAAGGAGCTACTACCTTTGGCAACAACATGGATGGAACTGGAAAGCATTATGCTGAGTGAAATAGGCCAGGTGCTGAAAGACAAATACCATATGATCTCACCTTTAACAGGAAGCTAAACAACAAAACAAATGAGCAAGCAGAAAAAAAAAAAAAAAAGACACTGAAATAGAGAACAAGGGGACAGTGACCAGAGGGGAGAAGGAAGGGAAGTTAAGGGGAAAAAGGGGGAGGGATTTGGAGGAATAAATAGGAAGGACACAGGGACGAGAACCAAGGCGGTGGAAATAGGAGGGAGGTGGGGAGCAAGGGGCGGGGAGGCTGGGATGGGAAAAATAGACAAAAAACTGTACTTGAAAAATAACTAAATAAAATTAATTTAAAAAAAAAAAGATTCCTCAAGGGAGGGATGACCTAAGACAGGCATGGTCATGAAGGGGCCCTCAGGGAAGAACTTGGGGAACTATAGAAAAAGGGAGTGATGGACCCTCACCCCTCGGCTTTGACAAAGCCTGAGTCCTCATTCTGTCTGTGAAAAGTCTCCTAATCTCTTGGCTACCTTACTTCCCCTGCCTGGCTTAAGCCTGAAACAATGCCAGAGGATGGTGCAGCCCTGGGCAGGAACAGGCAGTTCCCCATGGCAATCAAGGCCTGAGAAAGAATACATAAAATCCTGTGAAACCTGCTTTTCTAAGAATGTCCTCAGTTTTCTGAAAGGGTCCAGACATGAAATGAGTTTGTTTCCCAAAGTTTTATGGCCCTTTAACTAGCTGACCCTGACTCAGAATAAGCCCTCATAGTTCTTTGTATGTTATCCATTGTTTGATCTTACTGCCTGACAATAATTGATGAGCTTTACCTGTATTCCTGTGCAAATCGAACCCAATAAAAGCCCATTGAAGAAAAAGCTCTTGGCCCCTCTTCTTTGAAAGATCAGCCACCTTTCCTTCCCAAGCAGATCATGTCTTGGTAGACTTATTCATCCATGGCTGATGGGGGAACTCTGTGAGTGGAGCACCCCCACCACACTTGTATATCATTTTCTTTTTAAATATATAGAATCTATAGCTAAATTTAGTAAATAATTTGTAACTTTATTACTACCTATGCAGAATGTAATGGTTATGTTGAATAATTCAACAAGTCCTGCTCTAGGACTGAATGCATGGATTGAATGGATTCTTGTAAATGTTCTCTGTTTGCTGGTTGTAGTTCCAAAGGCTTGAGATTATTCATTGTGTTACTCAGTTCTTCAATATCTGCTTATTTGTCCTTGATTTCTCAATATTTGTGCAACAGGTGTTGAAATCTGTGACAATGCTGATTTATCTGTTTCCACATGTGCTGGCTTATTTTGAGGTACTATAAAGTACACGTATGCCAAAGATGTTCATGTTGACTCGACCTAGTGTTCACTGTACCATAATATAATATCCTCATCTTTCTTATGACCATTCCTACCCTAAATTCAACTTTGTTTGATGTTAAGATATAAATGTGATGGAAAATAAAAAAATACCAGAAATACCTAGAAGTGAGTTATATTGAAATTAATATCTGTTAAACATGTGTGGAACCAAAATAAGTCATACTTAAAAGCAAATCTGTTTCTTTAAAGTCATATGTTGTGATTAAAAGGGAGAAAAAAAGGAGGCAGTAACCATTTCCTATGGGTCGAATTGCATCCAGAACAAAGATAAATTTAAGTTTTGAAGTCCTGTCCCCAGGAATATGTCGATATGACCTTATTTGGAAGAGGGTTTTTGAAGACATAATAAAGACAAGGGTGCGCCCTAATCCAATAATTGGTGTCCTTATAAAAAGAGGGAATTTTGGATGCAAACACAGGGAGAGGCCACATGAAGATGGAGGCAGAGGCAAGGCATTTGTCCACAAGGTGAGGACCACCAGGGATCACTGTCAAAATCCCACAGCTGAAGAAGGCAAGAAGGACCCTCCTCTGGTGATTTGAGAGAGACCAGAGCCCTGCAGACACCTTGATTTCAAACTTCACATCTCCAGAGCCAAGAGGGAATAAATGTCTGTTATTTTAAGGCACCCAATTTGTAATTTGTTACACACCATTCAACTCAATACATTAATGAACTAACAGAGTAAACCTAAGTAAACATGAGGAAAAATAAATATAAAAGCAGGAATCAATTAAATAAAGAAAAAAGAAGAGAAGATGAATAAAATGGAAATCTGGATCTTTGAAAAAATTGGTAAGATACCTAGACCGCTGACCAACCTATTTAAACAAGAGAGTAAGAGAAATACTTTACAGATTAAACTTTTATAACCTATGATCTCATTCATCTAATGCAGAAAAAAGTCTTTTATAAGTTGCAGCATTCATTGTGATTATTAACTAACAAGAAAATATCAGCAACTGAGCTATAGAATGAAACTTTCTTAGATTGTAAAGATTGCATACTAAAGTAGAAATAACTATAGATATAACAAAAAATTAAATAAGAAAATTATGAACTACATGGTATTTAAAAACCAACATGAAATGAGTAAACTTCTAGATCATATAAGAGACCAAAATTTGCATAAGGAAATGAAGAGGTCAAACCAATGAATATATATCAAGTCAACTGATGTGAAAGTTTAAAAGACCATCTGTATCCAAAAGTGTGGAATTAAACACCATGAAGGTAACAGACAAAAACGTAAGAGAATTTGTTACCTAGAGATGAAGAATGACTTCTTAAACAAAACTAGAAAGCACTAAATGTAAGGCAAAATGCTGAATGGAGATTATAGCAGAATTAAGAATGTCCATTCACTAAAAGGTAAAGTTGACAAACTGAACACAGATTGGAGAAAATATATGAATTATCTAGAACCAAGAAGAGATTAACATCTAAAAATACCAGAAACTTTGGCAAATCAAGACAGTAACCACAATGGAAAAATAGGCAAAGGCTATGACTTCAATTACAGACTTGGGAATCCAAAATGTAATAGACCTATGTGACTATGCATGCTTAAGGTCACAGGTCATCAGAGAAATGCAGATTTAAACAGCAATGTGTTACCATTTTGTACCTTAATTAGACCAACAGATAAACAGAAGCTGACTAATGCTGACACTAGCGAAGCTGTGTGGATGAAGAAGGGACCAACCCATGGCATAGGGAGGGTGGACTGAGATTATGTTTAGAAAAACTCACTCTTCCTTCTGTGTGTCTCCTTTATGCTCACACACATAAGTATAAAAATATAAAAATAAAATGTAGAAAAATTATTGTAATAAAATCTCCTTAGTCTTACGGTTTCAGAGCTATGCGTTTTCTGAACCTCCTCCAATATTGCCGGAAGCTACTACATTCATCTTCAGCATTCCTTAAGATACTTTCAGTGCTGTGCTTAGTGTTGTTACCAGTGTTGTTACCGAGTTAGGGGACCCCCCACCCCTCTTTGGCTCTTGTCTTGATCACAAGAGATAAATTCAGTTAAGAAACAGAAAACGTACAGTGGAAATGAGGTAGCAAATTTATTTATGAAATGCACGTGTGCACAAAGCTGCAAGTGGGCACCCAGTTAGTCTGAGTGCCCTGCCTATTGGGGCTTTGGGGTTATTCTGCTTGCAGCCAGCCTCTGGGCTCCCCGTCTTGGGGGATGTTGGGATTAACATGCAGTTTGAAAGGCTTCCTTTTCCCAGATGGTGGAACCAATACACATAGAATTTCAAGGGCTCTCCTCCTGTGCTGTCATCTTTCTTGTGATCTTCAGAACACTTGGCAAACTTATCTGACTGGGCTCAGGACTGCTGAATTAATGGGTGACACATCTCTTTCCTGCTCTCTGCCTTGGTTTGCTATCTATACTACCTAACAGATAGGAAATAAAAGAAATATGGAGTGCACATGTGGGGAAGGAAAGTCAATCTCGCTGGTGTTGCCTTTGAGAGGCTGGCTGTCCTCCTCAGTGTATCTGCACATGTGAGGCTGGAACATGTGTTAACATGGTCCACAAGCTGTGAATCCCTCACCATGCACTGCTGCTTCTCATACCTGGTTTCCAGGTCTTGTCCCACCTCTGCAGCTGTGGTCACCTGTCCTTCATTCACACTTGCCCCTGGAGTCGATTGCATACCACCTTGTCTTTTCTGCTTGCTGATATAAAATGAAAATAGACACTGCAGCTGCTTTGGTCTTCTGGCGTTTTGGGGCGGACCATGAGGGGAAGCCACCTGGCCACCTGTTAGGGGGTAGGGTGCAGGGCAATATCTACCTCACCTCAGGTCCTGAGATGGGGCAGGGGCCTGGGGTGGCAAGGGGCAGCACAGCAAGGGACAATGACTTGAAGAGTAGAATCCCCTGCCCCTGCCAGGCAAGCATTCCTTGTGTGGCAGGAAGACAGCCTTTGGAGCTCCAGAACCCATCTGGAGGATGAAGGCTGCCCCGCCACCTTCTTTCTTTGCAAGCCCGTAGACCTTAGGTAACGCTCACCTCCTTCGCAGAGCTGCCCAGTATACCTTGTGACTTTACTCTCGCCTTCTGACAGCTCTCAAACCCAGCAATTAAAATGCATCTGCAGTAGCCCTGACAGTGTCCAGTCTGCATCTGCATCTGCGTCTGTGAAGGGTGGCTTCCAGGCAGACTCTCCCTTTTTTCCTCCCATAAGGTTCTGTGTGCCGAGAGCGAGTGTTACTTTAGCTATTTCATGAGGTGAGAATCATCAGTCGTGGGGGAGAGGGAGGGGAAAAGGGAGGAGGAGGGGAACCTATATGCCATTTGTTTGCCATTGCAGCAATTCATTTATAGGAATTGCTTGTTTGTGAGAATTTACAGGGATCTGGCCAAGTGAGGAGGGAGCTGATCGCGCATGCCCCTAACCTAGTGGAAAGGCATGGCATCCGGCTCTGCCGGCAAATCCACACTGGCAGAATGTATTTTTCCCAATTGTCCTCAATGGTTGAATCGCTGCCTAGCACACCAGGCACTGTGCTCTAGAACGCTCTTTCTCTCTTTCATTCTCTCTCTCAAACTTCAAGCTTGCCCTATACTGTTCCATTTGTCAAAATATCGCATTGCTCTTGACCCCAAGGACATCTTAGTCCACTTGGGCTGCTGTAACAAACACCACAGACTGAGCATCTTAACTCTTTCCTACCTCATTTAAAAGACAGCAACCCCAACATGGAGGTTCCACCCTCAGTATCTAAAAACCTCCCAGAGCCTTCACCTCCAATACCATCCGCTTGGTAGTTAACATTTCAGCATGTGAGTTGGTTGGAGCTTGGGGGACCGTTTATACAAACATTCAGCCCATGAGATTCTAGTTCTGATTTCCTGGCACTAAACAGCCTTCATGTGGAGCAGATCAATTCCCAAATCTTAGCACTTACATGAAAAGACAACTTCTTACCCAAGCCATTCCTATAAATATTTGCATCCTATTTGCTCTTCCAAACCTTCCCACACTACAAGGAAGCCAAGAAATCTCTGGAACCTGGTGGGAGCACCCATGTCACCAGTGGCTGGCAGGACTAGAGAAGGTGAGGGGACCATGGTCACACAAGGGCCAGGCACTGGGTACAGCTCGAGGGCCATACAGAGCCTGCACCAGGGCTGTCTTGAGAATCGCCCCATGCTCTGCTGTGATTGTCTTGGAATTCATAATAGTCATTGGACAGAGTGTCCCCATTCTCATTTTGCTGGAAAATTCAATATTCACTATCACTGTTATGTGACATAGGCTAAGCATGGCCTCCCCAAATCCTAAGCTCAGATGTCTGCAACAAACACCTTTGCTAGTGAAGCCACTCCAAAATATACCACATTGATATGTTGATTATTTGGAGCTGAAGACACTTGAAAAACAACAAATGCTGGTAGAGGTTGTCTCTGAACACCCCCACCCCACCCTTATCTGCCTAAGACAGACCCTGCAAAATTAACTGAACTGCCATCAGTACCCTTCCAAGAATTTTATCAATCCCAGCAGAGGAGACTAAAGGTTGGCATCACACCTAGACAGACTTTGTCACACACTGTCATATCTCCCATCTAGTCTCCTAAGGTCTCAATATCCTTCCTAAAATCGTTCGCTCTTCCCTAAGAAGTCTAGGTACCTACTCCCATTTTCCTGTAAAGATATATATGAGCTCCAAAATCTTATCATTTTGGGAGGTGTTCACCTTTTCCCCCTGTGATTCCCCCATTCACATAATATTAAAATTAAATAAATGGCCCTCGCTGGTGTGGCTTAGTGGATTGAGCTCTGGCCCATGAACCAAAGGGTTGCCAGTTCAATTCCCAGTCTAGGACACCATGCCTGGGTTGCAGGCCAGGTCCCCAGTAGGGGGCACTCAAGAGGCAACCACATTTCTCTCCCTGTTTTCTTCTTTTCCCCTCAGTCTAAAAAATAAATAAATATATTTTTTAAAATTTTAATAAATGTGTATATATTTTGTCCTGTTAGTCTGCCTGCTGTTGGTTGATTTCATGAACCCAGCCATCAAACCAGGACAGCGGAGAGGAAAGTCTTTCCTCTGCAACATTACAAAAGGTAAACATCTTCAACATCTAACTGCCAGCTAGCCTCTATTGAAACAAAGAGACCTACTCAGAATAGTAAGCTTTAAGAACTGAAGGCAGCCCTGGCTGGTGTAGCTCAGTGGACTGAGCATGGGTTGTGAACCAAAGGGTCTTGGTTCGATTCCCAGTCAGGGCACATGCCTGGGTTTCGGGCCCAGTCCCCAGTGGGGGCCGTGTGAGAGGCAACCACACATTGATGTTTCTCTCCCTCTCTTTCTCCTTCCCTTCCCCTCTCTCTAAAAAATTTTAAAAAAGAAATAAAATATTAAGGAAAAAAAAAGAACTGAAGGCAGCTTGCAGTGGAAGAATCTGTGCCAATGAGATCTACAGGCGAAAGGAAAGGCTTCTTGCTTTGACTATACCTCCTGTTCAAGGTGAAGCTACAGAGCTCTTCAAAGGGTGCTGGAAGGCAGGGTGGCAATAGTTTTTTTTATACATTTGTCATTAAGTCTTTGACATAAAAACAAATAATAGTTATAAAAATGGTTTGAATAAACATTCCAGAAGCAAGCTTTTGTCCACTTTAAGATGCCTTTAAAAAACTAAATCTGCCCTAGCTGATGTAGCTCAGTGGATTGAGCACTGGCCTATGAACTAAAGGGTCGCCAGTTCAATTCCCAGTCAGGGCACATTCCTGGGCTGTGGGGCTGGTCCCCAGTAGGGGGTGCATGAGGTGCAAGCACACATTGATATTTCTCTCCCTCTCTCCTTCCCTTCCCCTGTGTCTAAAAATAAAATAAATAAAATCATTTAAAAAAAAACAACTAAATCTGCCATTGTGAAATTGAGTACAATTTTACCTGTAGTACTTTTATATTTCTACTTTGGTAGAAATTTTAAGATTTCTGGCTGCTTTTGCCCCAGAAACTTAAACACAGGGCAATGCATTTAAATTGTTAATTTTTTTCTTCTACATATCATATCACAAGTATTATTTCCTCTCCAAGAAGGAAAATCAATATCCAAAAGGTAAAAAAAAAAATCTAGGTTGTTGTAGTCAGCTTGGAGCTTAGCACCAGCTGGCCTGACTTCGAGGGCCAACACTTCGGCTATATTTTTTCCAGCTCTTTGCTATCTGTCTACAAAGTGGAGTTAATAATAATGCATACCCGGAAGGGCTGTTATGAGCACTAAATTGAATTAAATATTTATTGAGTGGTTACTGTCAACCAATGGTCAGTAGTTGCTGCCAATTTCACACCAACAGGAATCGCCAAATTGGGGTACAGTGAAGAAAAAAACTTTATTCAGTGCAAAATAGCTGTGAGACAATCCTAGAACCAGGCCCTTTTCCAGCTAGGAAGCTTGCTCTGCTGCTTGCCAGTTTGTTTGTGCTGCACTGGTCTCCTCCACTCTGGCAAGATAGCTTCAGTATATCAGGTCTGTCAGGGAGACCCACTTTCCAGTCTCCAGTGGGAAAGTGCCCCTCTAGAAGCCAGGGCAGCTGGCTTATGTGGACAGAAATCCCCATTCCTGGTCCCTGATTGGTCTGTCTTCATGCAAATAAGGACCCCAAATCCTCACAGTTCGACTGGTCCAAAAGATACTGTCCTCTATTCTGACTAGTCAGAATAGAGCTGTTCTGGTTGATTGTAACTGTGCAGCTTTTGGATGGGGCAAGCCTCAGTCCCATTTTTTGAAATAGGATTCCAGGAACTCCTTAATAAGGGCTGGTTCTGATGGCAGAAACAGTGCAGACAGGCAGTTTAGTGCAGATTTCTCCATGAAGGGTAGTTTGTGGGCCAGGCCACTGGGTCGCCATTTGGCTCCTAGGTTTGTTTTGTTTTTTGTTTTGTTTTTAAATTTGAGCCACTGAGCTAGCAGGACCCCTTCTTAGCAGGTGTCTTTCCCAGGATTCACATTACCTAGCTCATGATGAGCTATAGAGAAATGTTTGTTAAATCAATTCTATATTTGTCAAGTAAATAGGTAAAAGGTTAATGCTAAGGATGTCCAGGCACTTACAATCTCCAGATGCCCAAGTGGACCTCAGAGGATAGACTCACATGCAGAGGACACTGCTTGTGTTGGTATTTTGAAAGCATGGTGCTAACTGCTCTGAACTCGGTGAATTATTTTGTGCTTTGGGAATGCCATTAAGTTCCCTGGCCCATTTAGATAGTGGCATATATGGTTAAAATAGCCAGGTAACTGACCTGCAGACCAGAGTTTCTCAAACTCTGATGTGCATATAAATCTGTTTAAATGTAGATTCTAACTCAAAACATTTGAGGTGGGGCCCAAAAGTCTGCATTTCTGATGAGCTCCCCAGCTGACACTTAAATAAGTGGAAGGTAAATTCATTACACCTTACGTTTCTATCTTGGAAGTCAATATAATAAGTAAACTTAACCTTGTGCATATAGGAATTAATTTAATAAGGGAGGTAACTCAGGAACAAGTGACTTCTGTTAAAAACAAGAAAACGGGCCCAAAATGGAGCCACTTATGTTAAATCTCACATCACCAAACCAATACTGAATTTGATTTCACTTTCAGTGCTCTCAGAATGGCATCCCAAACCAGACAATTGGAAATTGCCTGGCCAGCACAACTTAGGTCACCTGCACAAGAAACCCCAGCCATCCCCTAAAGAAGAGCAACTTTGCAATACCATATGCAATACCATTTGCCTTAGATGACTTCCCTGTTCCCCCTCCCTTCTGCTTATAAGAGTCTTTCATTTTGCACAGCTTCTTGGATCTCCCTTCTATCTGCTACATTGGTTGATGCCAAATTCAAATGAATTTTATTGCCAAAAAACTCTTAAAATGTTTTTATATGCCTCAGTTTATCTTTTACCAGTTCTATAAAGCCTAAGTTCTGATGGGTAATTAGAGAACATTAATATCTAACCCTCCGAGATATTAGAAGACTGGATGAGATCACACATACCAAGCACTTAGCATGTGACCATCTCATCAAAGGGTTTGTTCAGTGGACATCAACAGTAGGAAGAATTAGTGTTTCCTTTGGAACCCATTCCAGTCCTCTCTGCAGTTAAAAAGTCTGACTTCTTGCTACACTTCCAATGTAAGCACAATAACATATTTTCAGTACTATTACCTCAGATACCTGAAACACCATTTGCATCTAGTCTTGAGTTCTGAATTTATTTCTTTGGCCTTTGGGGAGTCTGGGGTTGGGGTGGAGAAATAATGGGAAAGAAATGGTTTAGGAAGTTGGAAGCAAATACCGTTCTCATCCCTTGTGCTGAATAAGGGTCAACATCCCCTTCCTCAGAAGAAATGCATCCTTCCTCCCCTCCCCTCTTCCCACCCCATATCTGCGTCCTACCCAGAGAAGATGTAGACTCGGGTTAAAACTGGTTATTTTGTATTTTATATTTTTGCTACAAACACACAGGATGAAGAGAAAAAGGTATGAATCTGACCCCGTGTACACCACAGGCGTACCTTCAGATTGGATGTACTATTATCCAATAGAAAAGAAGAACTAGCATCTGCCATTTAACAAAATTCCTTTTTTTAAAGATTGTATTTATTTATTTTTAGAGAAAGAGGGGGAGAGAAACATCAGTGTGTGGTTGATTCTCGTGTGCCCCCTGCTGAGGACCTGGCCCCCAACCCAGGCATGTGCCCTGACTGGGAAACGAACTAGTGACCCTTTAGTTCACAGGCTGGCACTCAATCCACTGAGCCACACCAGCCAGAGCTTGAGAAATTCACCAATGATTTTCACTATCCACAACAAAATTTATTTTTATATAATTATATTTGGGAATTCTACAACATGTTCATTTTGCTTCTTGATCTTCTGACACTAAGCAGTATCGTTGCCTTCTGTGAGCACAATCTATCACATTCTGCTGCAGACAAGTTTTATTTTACTAAATCTCGGTTTTAGGCTCATTGTGGTAGAGAGAATCATGTGGATCTGTGAGACTGGTTTCATGTGACTACAGTGCTCATTAAGATACTGACCAGGGCTTGGACCTGTCGACAGCCCCATTCACAGTGGGGCTGGAGGCTGAAGACTGACATTTTAAATATGAATCAGATATCTGAGAATTAAGGGGATTGTCATTTGATGATTATCAATCACTGTTTGATTTTTGGATTATAACTAGGAAAGCAAAGAATTGAGTGAAACATCTATAGAAAAATTTCATTCCTATGCATATATTTTTGTAAATGGTGTTTCAAAGCATATATCTATAAGACAAAGCAAAAGCTGCTATATTACTATCACTGTAAACATAAGTCTATTTGAGCAAGGGTGCATGAACTACCTAACGTAGAAAGGGAGGGGCCACCATCCATCTCATTAAGAGGCAGATTTCACCAAAATTTTGGTTTTTGTTTCAAAATTATCAACACTTACTTGTGTTTTAAAATTTTATGTATTTCTCACCTGAGGACATGCTTATTGATTTTTAGAGAGTAGAGAAGAGAGGAAGAAAGAGGAGAGAAAAACCCATGGGAGAAACATGGATTGGCTGCCTTCCCTACGCACTCTGACCTGAATTCAACCTCCAACCTTTTGGTTTGCCGGAAGATGCTCAGTCAACTGAGCCATACTGCAAGGGCAAAACTTATTGATGTTTCAAACACTGGGGTTTGATCACCTACAGGTATTTTAAAATTTCAATTTACATGCCTTTTTTGTAGGGAAAAGTGGTAGATAAACAAAAAATACATCTTACACCAGGATGAAATTTTGAGACAGAAGTGGAATACAAATGACTTCAGGGAGAAAAAAAGGATCATTTAAAACATCTATTAATGAGGAATTGGTCGTGTTATTTTATAAATTATGGTACCAAATTGATATTTCAACAGATACCTGTTAGATCTAGGCAGGCCTAGGAGGAATGGAAAATCACCAGGCGAGAAAATGGCACCGTGGGAAGCTGCCTGCTGACCCTGCCCAGGAGGATTAGGGTCTGGGGTCTGCTTCTCTGGCATAACAGGGTGCAGCTTTCACCCGGTAGCCGGCTCTAGCCACTCAGACTCTAATACCCCAACCAGAAGTTTTTGCGTTTAAAAACCCTGATCTAAGAACAACCAAGTGAGTCCCAACCTCCCTTGGTTGGCTCCCCTCTTCCTTATTCCCCACTAATAAACCCTGCTCTCCTTAGCTCGCTGCATCCCTCCAGTTTCTTGAGAGACTCTAACCTAACAATACCTTTAAAAGACTGATGTGTATGACCATTTTTTAAAACTCAAGGGTGGAATTTGCATCCTTGCAACTATTTCAACTAACCATGAAGATATTTTAGATGCCAACTTTGAAATGTGGGAGATTTAAAAAATTCTTTTAGAGTGGATCCATACGAGAAAAACAAACTGGCAGGACAGGGAGTGAGGGAGTTCCAGCCTCTGTGGCAGAGGATGATTGGTGACTTTTCTTTCCTGGTGCCGCTTGCGCCTCAGCCTCGCCCCCCAACTCCAACTTTCCTTTGGAGACAGGATTTGTAAACTCCATGATTATCTTTTACTGAATACCTGTTCCTTGCTTTGATAATGCAACCTTTCTTCCCCGCCCCCCTTTGCTAAACCCTCCTCGCACCGATGCAAGCTTTCAATACATTAATTCTCAAAATGTTCAAGGAAATGATTAGGAACCCCTTTTTAAAAAATAAGAAAGCCAAGCCTAGGAAAAGGTAAGCGTTGTCCCTTCCAGTGAAGACTCTTCATGACAAAGAACTTTCCCGGGAAGATGATTCTCCAAATAAATGCGGGGAGTTCAAAGGGGGACTTCTATTCTTCGTCAGTAACGTTTCACAGAAGATAATGTGGCCGAAGGGGAGGGAACTAATTTGTTCAGAAAAAAAAGGTATTCTTTCCTTTTAACTAGCCCGGTTCCCTCACCTCACCTCCCACCCCTAAGGGTGAAAGCTACCCGCTGCAGAGTCGGCTTATTACACGGGGCTCCCGAACACAGGGCGCTGAGTTTTCACCGAGCTTCCATTTCCTTTTCAGTCTTGAGCATCCTGCCATTGCAGTATCCAACCACACAAAAGTCCTCCGGGAAATGCTCATTGCTCAAGGATAAAGATGTTGGGTCCAGGCAGGGACGCAGTGCAAGGCGCCACCGCCAGATCTGCTCATCATCACCAGGGCCTCACCAAGCGCATCATCTGAAGCACCTCCGGACTCACCCACCAGGGACACGAGGCGGGAGATAGGCAAACAGACAGAGTTGTAGACCAAGTCCCCGGGAGCAAGCACCAGGGATGCACTAAAAGAACGTTCCAGCTCCACGCTCCTTCTTTGCGTGGCCATGCATTAATCGCCCTGAGCGGAGGCAAGGGTGGTCTAGGGGGTCCTGGATTGTTTGCTATGATTTGCATCCCGACCTCTGGATTCTCGCATTCGCGCGCAAGTGCATACACACAAACGCGCGTGCACACGACTGAAGCAAGGCCCCTGCAAATAACCAGGGGAACGCTAGGGCGCAAAGATCCATTGGGTTTACATAACAATCCTTCACCGTGTTCGGAAACCCTTTCTCAATTATGGTAGGGGCTCTGGCAACAGCAGGAGCAAGGCCGGACGTTTGCTCTTCCCCGGGAAGTGATGGTGGAGCACTCGTTGTATTGCGCCAGGTGGGACGCCTCGCGCGCTCACAGATGCCTTTGAGAAAGGAGTTCATGCTATCCATGGCTTTGGACAAGATGCTGGTGTCGGGATGCATCTACTTCAACAAATTTCACCTGTAAACAGAGTAGCTCTCCTTACAGCAGAGCTTGTGTGCTTCTTGCATTCTTTTGCAATTTGGGGACTACTTTCTTGGTCTCGGGGACAGATTTCAAGGGATAAAGAATGCTTAAGTGTCTCTACCAATAGTTTCTGTAAACGGAGCAACTCAATATGTCGTATATTCAAATCAAGGTCACAGTTTCTAGTTTCTGGTAGGGTGAAACACTCCCTGACGTCATCACTGGGAAAGACACATGCAAATTAGGAGGTGGTGACTTCTTTTTCTGATTGACTGTAGCCGCCATCCAATTGGACGGCGCCATCTCACCTACCTCCGGACCAAGTATAAAGGCTTACTAGGCCTAGCGGTCTCTATTTCGGGTTTTGTTTCTCTGTCTTTCTTCTTTATTTTGGCTCCGGTTTACGGATATGTCCGGTCGCGGCAAGCAGGGGGGCAAGGCGCGAGCCAAGGCCAAGTCGCGCTCTTCGCGCGCCGGGCTACAGTTTCCCGTAGGCCGTGTGCATCGCCTGCTTCGCAAAGGCAACTACTCTGAGCGCGTAGGCGCGGGGGCGCCGGTGTACTTGGCGGCGGTGCTGGAGTACCTGACTGCCGAAATCCTGGAACTGGCCGGCAACGCGGCCCGCGACAACAAGAAGACGCGTATTATCCCGCGCCATCTGCAGCTGGCCATCCGCAACGACGAGGAGCTCAACAAGCTGCTGGGCCGCGTGACCATCGCTCAGGGTGGCGTCCTGCCCAACATCCAGGCCGTGCTACTGCCAAAGAAGACCGAGAGCCACCACAAGGCCAAGAGCAAGTGAAGCCGCGGAGGCAGGCAGGAACTGCCTTGCGCCCTGGGGGTCCCCTGATGCCAAAGGCTTTCTTCAGAGCCACCCAGTTTCCTGGAAAGAGCCTCACCCGGCCTCAGCGTGGCGTGCCCCGTGCTCTACTGCAGGGGGTGCTCACCTGATGTGTAACCGCCATGCTCGCGAATCTTGCCACCAAATCCCTCCTGGGATTTAAATCTCTCTCACCCTGAAGGTACCTGTGTTATTACCAGTGTTTAGTCTCCACAGTCTCGATTGGTCACATTTAGACGCCAGATACGAACTGTCTTTATCCTAGGGACAACCGGGTAAATTGGCCTGGTATGAAAAGTTTGTTATCCTCAGAATTTGCCATTTCTGGTTCTGATAAGTAAACTCGTTCCCACTTAAATTTGAGTGCTTGAGTGAGTCGAAATGGCAGTTTTTAAGGTTCATCGGGAGTATGATAGAATTTATTGGGCTGGGAATTCTAAAGTCTGGGGAAGGATTTATTTTACTACAGGTGTTTTCAGTATTTAAAAGGAATTATTTTTAAAAGCGGTATAAAGTCTTCAAGAGAACTTAACATTAACTAAATGAAGGAAATTAAATTGTTAACATTGGGTTGGTCAAACAACCAAAGAACTTCTCGAATTGTTAGCTAACATCATAATAAGATAATTTGTACATTGAGCCTGATTTTAAAAAACTAGGTTTGTGAATTTAGTGAGTTTAAAGAATATTGTTAGGATCAGATTGTGTAATGTCTGCATGCCTATTTCAGAAGCTGGCTGTTCACCAGCTCTACATTCCATTACAAAGCAAGGTTGGAGACATGCTTTTGAAAAGTCAGCTGAGAAATGGGAACGTTAATGGCACCTACCTCATGGAAAATAAGGGAATAAATGAGATAATCCATGGTAATTCCCTAAAAAAATAATTCCTGGTGCAAAATAAGGGCTTTGTAAGTGTTAGTTATTCCTGTCATTATCCTCACTGTTATCAATTTTTTTCATTATAACAATAAGTACAGTGGTAAAACAATTCAGAAATATATTTTATCTTACTAAAAATAAGTTTACTCAAACCAGGACTTTCCAGAACCATCTGAAACTAGCCATCTACTAGTCTTTAGAAAATATTCTGGTGCTAAAAAAGACATATAGACAACTGCTGTACTCACGTGGATGGAAACCATACCAGAGTCCCCCCCGTGGAGGAGAGTAGAAAGAACCTTGGTGCTGAGCAGGCCCCATCGCAGTGAGGAGCATCAACAGACTAGAGCTTTCTCAAGGTGCAGCCAGCGTGTTAAACAGTGAGGGCATTCAATTCTACTGTAAACTTATGTTCAAATCCTTAGGTGGTATTGAAAATAAATTTTCCAGGGGCAGGGGCTTAAGTATTCCAAGTTACCACCATGGCTGTTCAGCTTTTTAGTTTTTTTTACTTCCCTGGACATTCTTGGAATAGAGACTGTGATGTGGGCGGTACTCTTTGGCAGCAACTTCATTTGTCATCTCTAAGGCTGAACTTTTCCCATACAGCCAGCCACAATCCACAGGGGACATTTAATTTTTTAGTTGTCCTATCTACATGTGGCCAGAGGCTACAACACTGGACAGCACCATCTTCACAGAAAGTTTTGTTGGACAGCTCCAGTCTAAAATCTAGTTATCTGTCTGCGCTACCAGGTTCAAAAACCTGATGAAGTAAACAGAGCTACCTGCCTCTGTGTGAGAGCATCACATGACTCAGTCCACTTCCAGGTGTATACAAGGGTTCTAACAGATATCCATATAACTACATTCACAACAGCATTATTCATAACATCCCAAATGTAGAAACAGCCCAAATGCCTATAACAGATGGATGGATAAACAAACTGTGGTCTGCCCACATTGTGGAGTACCATTCCACCATAAAAAGAAGAGTGAAGTTCTGATTCATGCTACAACACAAAGCTTAAAAAATATTGTGTCGAGCCCTGGCTGGTGTTGCTCAGTGGATTGACTGTTGACCTGCAAACCAAAGACTTGTCAGTTCGAGTCCCAGTCAGGGCACATACCTGGGTTGTGCATCAGGCCTGATCCCCAGTAGGGGGCACATGAGAGGCAACCACACATTGATGTTTCTCCTTCCCTTCCCCTACAAAATAAATTTTAAAAATCTTTTAAAAAAATTGTGCCAAGTAAAAGAAGTCAGTTACAGTAGGCCACAGTATATGACCCCATGAATTGTCCAGAATAAGCAAATCTATAGACAAAAACTAGGTTAGTCATTGCCAGAAACTGAGGGTGATGGGAAGAATGAGTAGTGACTTTTCTTCGAGGATGATGAGAATGTTTTGGAGTGAGAAGCGAAGGACTGCACAGCACTGGAAATGCACCGAATTGCACTGTAGATATTTATATGTTATAGAAATTTCACCTTGATTTTCAAAGAAATCTGAATGTAATGGTAGGTTACCATGAGACTGAGTGTCTCCATTATTTTATCTAGCAGGTGAAGGGTGGGCTGGCCAGGCTGGCATGGCTGTCAGTGCCCATGGGAGACCATGTAGGAAGAGGGGTGTGGAGTTCCTCTGGGTGGCCTTTCCTTGGACCACTGTGGCACATCACACTGGGATTCTCAATTACTGTCTCCATATTCTTATAGGGTAATTACATTGAGAGAGATGAGAAAAACAGGTGAGGTACTGGAGGGACAATGCAGCCCAACCAGTCTCAGAAACATCTATATTCACTGCAGGTAAATTTCCCCAGTCTAGTCTCAGCCTGGCCCATAACCCACAGCCTATCCAACCCTCCTGGACATGGGTCTGTCCCTGGTCCCTAACCAACATCTAGTCTCCTCCTGGATGTGTCAGTTCCTGTCCACTCACCAACACGTTTGAGAATCCCTCAACTATAAAAACAAATGGACACCCCTCCACACACACATACCCAATTTCTTTGCTAAATAAGCATTCAGTGGTGCATGTCAGGGGAAAACTGGGTCACCCAGCTTGAATGCTGTTGGGCCTGGGCTGAGCTGAGCTGTTGTCCTAAAATCTTGCCCTGCTGTGTGGTGGCCCCTTTTCTCTGACACCTGCCGAGCAATAGCTCTAACTGCATCCTCCCTTTGGCCCTCTCCTCTCTGTGGTCAGCTCTGACCCTCTCCAAGCTACGTGGGACATCAGGTTCTGACACTTTCCCCTCACTGGCAGCTCCTCTTGCCATCACTGCCCTTGTGCCCAGAGGCTGCCTTCATTGTCAGCACCCCTGTCTTCAATTTGCCCCCAACTCTGTGTGGCATCCTTATATCACATCCTTGCAGTTCTGTTCTCAAAGTTGAGGATCGACGGTTGGACCTGGGCTCACAGGAAAGCTGGTAATCAGTGAGCATGCAGAAGGCTGGTTCCTGGGCATTTGGGGCCAGTGGGGAGTCAGCTGAGGTGTCAGTGGTCAACTGGGACTCAGTTGGGTGTCAGCATCAGTCACGGGTCAGTGAGGGTCTTTGGAAAAGTACTGGTCCAGCAGCCTCCCTCACACTTCAGGGTGTCTTGGTTCTGTCTCTCTCCTTAGCTAATTCTGGCTTTCTGACATGGTCCCCGGAAGATGAAGAGTTACCAGGACCCCTGATGCCCAGCCTGCATGCTATCATTCATGCCCCAAGTCACAGAACCCTCTGGATCCAGAGGAGCAGCCTCTTCCCCACTCTAGGAGAGCAAGGGCCATGCTGCCATGCTGCCATGCTGCCATCCACCACATCCTCACAGGGGCCAGGCTCCAGCTCTGGCTTGGATGTACCTCCTGATGGCTGCATCAAAGGCATAGCCCCTTACCACCATCTTCCCCAGTCAGGTAAATGGTCCCACCATCCACCTGCAACTCAGTTAACTAAAATAAATTGACAAAAGCTGCCTTTGATCTCTTCCTCCCCATCCCTGCTCACAAGGAGACCAACAGCAAGTCAGGAATCATTGGGATGCAGGCCCTTCTCTCCATGTCAACTGCTACCATCCTAGTCCTGGATTCCACCTAGTGTGGGCTGAAGGGTGCTCCCTTAAGATATGCCCACATCCAGATGTTTAGAATGTGTGACTTTGACCTTGTTTGATAGAAAGGTCTTTGCAGGTATAATTCAGTTAAGGGACTTGAGATCATTCTGGATTGGGGTGGACCCTAAATCCAATGACAGGTTTCTTTAAGAGACAAAAATTGCAGAGACTTGGGAGAAGGTCATGTGAAAAAAGGCAGAGATGGAGGGACTTGTCCACAAGCCAATGGACACATTGAGCCACCAGGACCTGGCAGAAGTAGGAAGGGCCCTCCCCTGGAATCTCCTGAGGGAACTGGCTTGCCCATACTTTGCTCTCAGACTTTGGCTGCACACCTGGAGAGCACACTTGTTTCTGGTCCCTCAGCTTTTGTAGGAATTTGTTACAGCTGCCAGGAAATTCAGACACTGTCATTTTTTATCTGGACTACTAATCTCCCACTACCTGCACTACAGCATAAGTGAGATGCTCGGAAACTCAGTTCCCCTGTTTGAGAATAAAATCTACAGAAAATCAAATCAATGGAATCCACCTTATCAACAGGTGGGGGGAAAAAGAGAAAAACATAAAATCATTATGCAGGGAAGGTATCTAATAACATCCAGTAGCCATTCTTGACAGAAAAAAAAAGCACAGACTTAAGTGGAAAACAAAACTACAAAATTTGTAGGAAGAAAATTTATAGAAGGAAATCTTCAGAACATAGGGCTAGGCAAAGAGTGCTTACGGTTGACACCAAAAACATGATCTATGGATCTGAGGAAACTGGTAATTGGGCCTAATCAAAATGTAAACTTTTGCCTTGTGACAAGGATGAAAAAACAAGCTATGGAGTGGGAGACAGTATTTGTGAACCATCCATCTGAAAAAGGACTGGACTCAGACCTTTGAGGAACACTCTCCTGCCTTGTCGCAGGCCAGCTGACGTCTCCAGACCACAGCCTGACAACCACCTCCTAGAATGGGCATGTACTCTTTTTTAGACTATTCCATTCTTAAAAAATAGAGAAGACAAGAAAAAAAGTGGGGGGAGGGGCAGAGTAGACAAATTTCTTCACATGCGTTAATATAAGCCCCGCCTCTGGCAGCCTAGTCAATGAGCCAGCTGGGAACCAAGTATTTAGGGTCACTGAGTATACCTGAAACACTAAACACTCAAGGTCACTAAATATATAATAGTACTCAGCATTAAGGACCCTCAGGCACTCAGCAAAAAAAGAAATCTTTTGGTGCAGTGCCCATACCCTTCTCTTAGCCTCTGACCACGTTCCCTCCCTCACACCAGTTCCATGGGTCCGTCCTCCAAACTCACATGTCCCACATTCTTCAGAGCAGACACGTGGGCCTTCCCACCCTGAGGGCCTCCTACTTTCCGCTCAAATCTCAGTCTCCATGGTTCCAGGCAGAACGCCCCAAGCCTGGGTGCTCTTTCTGCTCAACAGGTAAACCTCTACCTTACCCCACAGTATGCAAGCTCCCGGAAGGCGCTGTCTTCGGGTGTGTACCCTCCCTCAAGCGTTAAGAGGTGAGTCTCAGGCACACAGAGGATGCAAAGTGAATACTGGTGAATGAAATTTAAACGTGCAAGAGTGCGTGTTGGGGGTTCCTCTTCCTCAAGCCCCCGGAGGCAGAAAAGGAATGGAACTACTCCAGTGACCACAGCCAAAAAGTGGGAGGGTGTACGCCATCCCACCACTGGGCGCCCCCATCCCTCCACACTAAGTAAAAGCCCTACTGGATCCTTTTTAACAATGGTCAACGAGCCGACTCCAGATCTGGTTGTGAGGACATTACCAAGAAAAATTATGGACCCAAGGATGAGGGCCATCCTCCCTCGGGCTCCGAAGTTCCACAGCAGCTGCATATTGACTTTGAAGGCGCGGCCTCTTCAGAGGCCAACAGAGGAGAGAGTGCAAGGCTGTTTTTGATGAAACGTAAAAAAGAGACGTGGGATTTATGTCATTTAAAGCAGGGGTTGCCATTCCGGCTCCCTCCTGTGAATGCGGCACATGCGCTGGGGGTCTCTGGGCGTGACCCGAACTGCTCCTCTGAGCTGCCCACAGGTGATGGGCCGCAGAGTCCCTCCAGGCTAGCCTGGAGCCTCCAGTGTCTCCTTGGAGGTGGGGCTCGGCCTCAGGGTTCTGCTCAATTGGGCGCCCCGGGGTCCAAGAGGCAACGCGCAAGGGAGAAGATCCACGGACTTCTGACAGTAGCTGGGCTCCGGGACATCGGCGGTGCGGGGTGCTAGGCGTCAGGAGATGAGAGGGTGCAGGGATAAGGGATGAAGTGATACAAGGGGTGCCGGAGTGTCGGGATAAAGGGGTGGAGGGTAAGGGATACCGGGATGCAGAGGTGTAGAAAAAGGGCATACCAAGTACCCTCGTGCGGTGAGGCGGGCAATGGTCTGGGAGGCTCCTGAACGCTGTGCTTGGGGCTGGCTACAGAAAACACCTAATGCCGCCATATTTACACTCAGGCACCTTTCCCGTTTGGTCAATTCAATAGCTGTCTTTCTAACTGCAAGCGGGTGCATGTGTCCTCTTGGTCTCCAGACCCCTACCGCCATCCTGTGGCCCAGAGACTCCCCTCCAATCCCCACCCCCACCTCTGGACTCAGAATCACAGGTGCTGTTTGGGTTTTGCACACCTGATGCCATTGACTTCTCACAGCCCGCGCAACCCCTAGACCTAAGAGCTGCAGCGTATTCTTCCCGAAAGGGAAGCCTTTTCACCCTTGTCCGGGAATAGATTACGTGACGCCTCTGTTCTACGCGCCCAGCGTTGTAACATCCCTGTACACCCTCCGCAATGGCTAGGGGAGTCTGCTCTCCCCTAGCTAGCCATTTCCCAGCGTCTTCCCTGCCTCCTGGTGCGTGAAGGATATCCCCGCCTGTTTGTCTCACATTTTTGTTCACGCTTTCCTGCTTGGAGTGTTACACGCAGATCCACACCAAAACCTTACAAACAGACAAGTGCTTAAGAACCAAATACCCATATTGCCAACGCTTTCCTTTTTGCCATAATCTATAAAAATTCAACACAATTTATTCACATCCTTTTGTTGTTTTATGCTTGTAAATGCATGTACTATTAACCTTTCCCCTTTTATAAACTAAAGATATTATAATTAACCACTATTATTGTGTGATACTCAAATTGTCAACTGTGGCCCTTAAGAGACCCCTTAAAATGGCTATTTTACCTTTTTAGCGTAGCCCAGAAATTGTTGAGAGCGTCGTTGCTTTCTGAGAGCAGAAAATTATTTCAGATCCATCACTGAATTTTGATTTGGGCTTTTTGTTTTTGTTTTGTGTGATATTGTTATTTACAATAAGAAAAAGATGTTCAGTTTGGTCTTTATCTCCATTCTTAGCACAAAGCT